TGCATGCCCATTGCTGTATTTTTTTATGTGGAATAAAACATTTCACATAAAACCTATAGAAATATTAGAAAGTGAAGCAATATATTAATACATTTCCTGCCTCTAAATTAACTGTCATGTTTGAATCAAATTTCTGTCTAGTTGTCTGTCGATAAATCCTGAAAGCTTGATTTGTATCCAAACTCATTCTTTGCTTTACTTTTCCGTTCTTGAATTACATTTTTTGTGTAGTCTTCATAAATGAAGTGGCATCATATTTATAATTCCATTAAAGTGACCTACTTCACTGACATTAGTTAGATGAGACAAATTATGTTGTGGCTGAAGTCCCATAAATATTACACGATGTTCAAAAAATTGTTTTTTGGCTATTGCTTTTGCATTATTTTATCATCAGCTGTCTTGAAATGTTGGTTCATGTGTAGTTGTACTTCGGCTGTTTTCAATCTAGCTTCATATTAAAACAAACTTGGTAAGCCACCTCTAAATCTGGAGTAAAACTGGTAACTACATGTGACAGAACATAGTGCTAACTCATCTTTCATGATCCTTAACCATTTATCTGTTCAATAATGATCAACATCCCAAAAGATAAAAGGAGGAAAATTATATTTTGTATTTACATTTTCATTATTGTGAATGTGAGCAATATTAGTAATTTCTTTGACATAATGGTTCTTGTTATTTGCAATTGTCTTACCTGTTGTAGAACCACAGTGTTGTCTTTTATTCAGTTCAATTCAAGCTTTATTGTCCCCTAAGGGAAATTAGTTTTACGGTACAGTCAAACACAACACAATGACAAATAAACATCATCAAAAGGGAAGAGAATACAGTAGTGTTATGGGAGAAATGAATCAAGAGGCAAGGTAGTTACTTTGCATTGTTTAAGATTGCAGTGGGAATGAAAGATTTCCTGAGTCTGTTGGTTTTACACCTGGGGGCACAGAGGCGTCTCCCAGTTGGGAGAAGTGTGAATTCACATTGGAGGGAATGAGACACACACTCCATGATGCTTTTGGCTTTCTTAGGCACCCTCTGTTTGTAAAGGATTCTTAAGTTGATTTGATTATTCCAGATTATTTTTCTATTTATATTCACTAATTTACCCAGTTTATTACAATTGCCGGTACTTTTGTTGCCAAACCAACAAGTGAAGGAGTATGTTAAGACACTTTCAATGAATGATTTGTAGAAAAGTGTAAGAATAGTTTTATCTGCTGTAACATAATCAGGGGAAGGGTCATTCATAACAGGTATTTTCGGAATGACCTACTTAAAATAATAGATATGGACCTTGGCAAAATGGCTGCCAAAAAGAATCAGCTGACCGGTAAATGGAAAGGGTCTACCCTGAGAAACAGCTGAGCCGCATCAGGAATCGAAATATAAGTGCCCCGGAGGCAGTGAACAGGGCGGAAGCCGATAAGGTGAATGCGGCTCAGCTCTGTCTCATTGTTTCTCAGGGTAGACCCTTTCCATTTACCGGTCAGCTGAGTCTTTTTGGCAGCCATTTTGCCAAGGTCCATATCTAGTATTTTAAGTAGGTCATTCCGAAAATACCTGTGTAGGGAAAACCGGTTCAGGGACGCCAAATATGTAATCATAGTGGCTCTCTGAAGGCACCAGTTCTGTAGGGTTTGGGCATTTACTGAGACAATTATTAATTGTAGCAGTAAATCACAAAGTTGATTCTTTTGGT